CAGGTGGGCTCTTCTTCCTGGTGCCCCCAGCTGCACAGCAACCGGGATGCCCGGCCAGGCCGCTTCTGCCTGGGCCACGGCAGGGACACGCGCAGAGATGCGGCCGCCGGAGGAGGAGGAGGAGTGGCCGGCCTCGCGGGAGCTGCCCGCCCACCAGCAGGTAAGGGGTCGGCTGGGCTGGTGCCGCCAAGCCCCCTCGCCTCTCTTGCTCCCGCTCCCACCGCCTCCCGGCCACCGCTCGTCTTCGGTTTTTCCTTTGAGCGGTGGGGACGCGGAAGGGAGCCTGGCCGGGGCACCGGAGCGGGTCAAGCCCCAGGCTCCCCCCCTCCCGCCTCCGCCTCCGCCGCTGCGCGCAAAGCGGGCCTGCCCTCTCGGCGCTGGGAGTGGCCCAGCCCCGCCTCAGAGGAGCGGCCCCTGGACTCCTTTCTGGCGAGGTGCCCACTCGGCCCTCCTGTATGTTTTCTGCCCTCCTCTCTTTCCAGAGTCTGCCGGAAGAGCTGCTCTCTTTCCTGGAGGGCTTCGTCCCCTTGGCCTTGCAGGACTGCCTGTCGCCCGCCCACCCTTTGCCCGCTCTCCTGACATCTGGACTGGAGGCCAGGAAAGAAGGCCCGTGACGCGCCCGGCCCTCCCGCGCCCTGCCTTGGAGAGGAACCCCCACCACCCACGCTCGCTCCAGGACGGCCGAGCCTCTCTTCTTAGCCAGCCGAAGCCGCCTCTTCCCTCCCTCCGAGTAACGGACAAGGACAAGCATCGGAGGGGCTGCTTGTTCAGTCCACTAGTCCACTAACTCTTCCTTCCCTACACTCCTGCTCCTGCTCTCCCCTGTAGCTTGCTTTGTTGTCTGCATTCAGGACTAGGAATAGCTTGGAAACTTGGTAGGGTGTAAAGAAACCGTGGTGCCATCCTGTCCTTTGCCTGCTTGGGCTATTTTTGCAGGTGGGATAGAGGAGGCAGATCGAAGTTAGGGCTGTGAATGAGGGTAGGATGGGAGCAGAAACATCCCACTGAACAACTCCAGCCAACTTCAGTTTATCTCTGGGGTAATTATTTCAGCCCTTTCCCACCAGAAAGTAGGATTTTTCTCCCACTGCTTTGCTCTGTTTCAACCTGATTTGGGAACAGGAATTCTCTTATTTGTCCTAGGACCAGCGCCTGTCCTGCCAGAGCACCCCCTGCCAACTTCCCAGATCTCTCGGTGGCTTTAGGTACCATTGAACAGCCATGGTATCAATCCCTGTAGAGCAGAGGTGCCAAACTCAATTTCACCTGGGGCTGCGTTAGCATTATCATTGCTGAAGGGCCAGTTGTATCTGTAAGACTATATAAAGGTATCTACTCTTTATCATATTAAATATAATCCTCCTCATTCAGTTATTACTGGTTTTAGTAATAAGGTAAGGAATAAATGGCTCTGAAAGACCTAGTCTATGATCAAAGTCTAGAAATAATGGCAAGCAGATATTCAAGTGTACAACTATTTTACAATTTATTGAAAAGTGAGTTTTAGTAACCGCTCCACAGCCCCACCTGCATTTGTTTGTTTTGTTAATTATTCACGGAAGGCTCCCACCTTTCCCTCGTGCTTGTCACGGCCCTCAGCCCTTGTTATCACCTGGCTCCTCACTCGCTTCCCTAGCTGATGTGGGAGAGGAGACAGAGATGGCCATGGCTGGGCGACACCATCAAACTGTCCTCGCCGGGAACCATAAGAATGGGAGTGGCAATAGTGAGAACTACATTTCCCAAGGTGCTGTATGCCACCCAAGCGGCTACCCTTTCTGACCCTCTGCTGCTTTGAATGCTGGGATTAGAAGTCCCGCTGGGTGGATTCCCCTGCTTCCTTATGGAGCATTCTGGGTGACTGAGTGCCTGCATCTTGTATGCTGCACAGTAGCAGGCAACACTGTGAGGGCCACACGAAATGGCCTGGCGGTCAGTAGCAGGCAACACTGTGAGGGCCACACAAAATGGCCTGGTGGTCTGGATTCAGCCCACGGGTCTAGAGTTTGACACGTGCTGTAGAGCATCAGGGTAGAACTTCTTGTTAGTTCTTACTCTTCAGCCCATGGGCCTTGAGTTTGACACGTGCTGTAGAGCATCAGGATAGAATTTCTTGTTGGTTCTGACTCCTTATAGGCCCCCAGCTCAGGAGGAGATGCCCAAACTATTATTCCCTGTAGGGTTCATTGGGATGAAGTTTTGTCTCCTTTTTTGTTTGATCCCTCCATAAATGTAAGCTTTATCCAGTTAAGACTCTTAAGTTATGGTGGTGCTGCTTAGCTGAGGGCTGGCCAACTGGCATTGTGTTCTGCTGGAACTCAGCACCAGTAGTGGTCCTGGACACCCTGGCCTTGAGATTTGTTGATCTGATCACTGAACACATGGCCGGAGAATGGAACATGCCCACCAGTGTTAATTCACTCTTTGGCGTTACTGTGAAGCAGCCTTTGTACAGATGCTCTAGAAGGCAGTCTGGAGATTTCAGCTGACACAGAACACTGTGGCCTGACTGGGTGTAGGGTAGAAGTGAGCAGTGAGCAGGTAGAAATGGGACCCTGCAACCTTTCAGACTGAAGATTCTCAAGAAAAAGAAAGCCAAACATCTAAAGCAGTTACCAGCAGTTCACGTTTTGACCTTTAAACCTTGTTGCAGTGGCGTGGGATAGCTTAAGGCACCTCTTCTAATCCTAAGGACCCTCCTGCCTCCAACTTCTGACATCTGCCAAGAGACCTTGTTAAGGACCCTGCCCTTTTTGGACAGGAAGCAAAACTTTAGGAGCACTCCCTGTATGAGGTGGACCAGGAGAGACTTAACACCTCTTCCTGGAGAGTTCAACTTGTCTTGCTTCCTTTTGAAAGATGTGTGAAAGCACACCAGCTGTTTCAAGTCCTGATTTCACAGACATGTATTTTTTTGGCTGTTGTTTTTAATTGTTTTGGTTGAGACAATATTAATATTATTCCTACAACCCTTTGTCTTGTATTGACTAATGTGATGTATATTTGTTTTAAACTACGTTTATTATTTTTAGAGAGAAAAGTGGGACAGAAGTGATTATTAGAAATAAAATATGATTTTTATTTAAAAAAAGAAATGCATTGCAATGTACTATTCATTTATAGGAGTCTTTAATTGGTTTTTAAAAGTGTGTGCTTTATAACTCTTGTGCTATAAACTGCTTGGAGAACTGCTGACGGCGAAAGGAAGATTGCTGGCGTTATAAAACGAGAACACCCGGGGAGGTGTCAAGAGAGATTTTACCCAAGGTCGCCGGGAGGGAGTGGCAGCGAAAGAGGCCCTTTGAGAAGGCCGCCTCCTTGCTGAGGAGACTCGGGTTCCACACAGCCCGTGCCACCGGGCGAAAGAGGCCCTTTGAGAAGGCCGCCTCGTTGCTGAGAATCGGGTTCCACACAGTCCGTGCCACCGGCGTGGTGGGGCCCATAGGAGAGACCGCCGGCATCCGGTCGCCTTGCCCTCCGAGGCTATCTGCGACTCTCCTGCCTCGGTCCCCAATAAGCGGGTCTGTATCCCCACACCCACCGCAAAGGCAAAGGGCAGCAGACTCTGGTTCCCCGTGGGAGGGCCTCCATTGCCTCCCCCCGAAGTCCCCCTGCGGGTGAGGTCCCTTTGCAGGCCCGGAGGCGGGCAGGAGAAGCCCGCGGCCAGCGAACCCTCCCGGCCACCCCGCTCCCCCGGCTGCCGCCTCCGGGCGCTCCGGTGCGCGGCGGGAGAGGCGCCAGCGGTTTAGCCGGGAGGGCCCTCACGACTGGCCCCCAGACCTGGCTCGGCCGCCCCCCCC